TACAGGGTTCATGAAGTTCAGTTGGAGTACATGGACCCCACAGAGTATGGGAGTACAGGAATACGTCGTTTTCCCTTACCTTTAATACATTTCAAGTTTAACCTGAAAGGTTCTTTCTAGAGAGAAACAGCAAACTTCAAGCACAGCGACTTCAAATTTTTAAAAGACTTCAGAAGACTTCCTGTGACTTCACTGAACTTCATTAAACTTCAGAGAGTTCACGACACTTCAAAGATTTCATGAGACGTCAAGACTGATGTTCCAGTTTTTTCCCCCTCGGACTTTTTTCCATAAAACCCTAATTTCTGCAAGGGTGAAACAGCGGACTTCAAGGCTTCAGAAGATTTCATGAGACTTCAAGAGACTCCATGAGACTTCACGTGGCTTCAAAAGACTTGATCAGACTTTAGAGGGCTTCAGAGGACTTCAGTTGCATCAGATGTTATACTAACAGCTGCAGCTCAAAGACTTCAAAAGACTCCTTCAGACTTCATGAGACTTCACAAGACTTCAGAAGACTACATTAAACTTCAAAATACTTCATGAGACTTGAAAGACTTCATCAGACTTGAAAGATTTCATCAGAATTCCACGCTGAAGTCTCAGTTGTTTCTCCCTCGAATTCCTGTGATTATATATAAAACCGTGCAATATATCATGCTCTGTGTATATGCACCTATGAATGAAATTTAAAAAAACTGCTCTCATAGATAATCTTAAGTCAACATGATCTACTAATCCCGAAAGTTTCATGCGATTCGCAAATAGTCAACATAAACGTGATAGAGATCCCGAAGAATATCCCATATGTCAACCATTCAAACAGAAAAATGGTTGGTCCATACAAATGAAAAACAAAAAGAAATTTATTTTTTCATTATTTTTAAAAATTATGATTTTTGAGCTCCAATATCCTGGCTAAGGCATAAGAAGAAAAAGTTTAATTTTTTACGAATTCACAGCTTATTGAATGTTGTATACAATGCACAAAAACTGTCTTGATTCGATGCTTTATTACTCCAAACAGATAGTTTTTATGAACGAGTGAAAAATAGCCCGGCAGAGGATAATGAGCTAATTGCAAGATAACTTTTGTTTTAACTTATTTTGTGAAACTCGTGTATATTTTCGAAGATAATAATACTCAGCGCAAGTTTAAATCGAAGTTTTTACGACTGCCCTTCTAGACACCACTACAAAGCTTAGTAACCAAAGATAATAATGTCAGATTCCTTGCTCAGAATTTCTCACCAACGAAAAAAGAAGCCGAACGGTATTAATGACAAGATTCAGACTATTCTAGAGAACTCTAGAATACTTCAAAGCCTTCGTTGAATTTTGAATGGCTGGAATATGTTTATGAAGGTTCGAAATAGTGCAGTTTTTGATTTTTGTGCAAGTAAAAATACATATTCAAGACATCAAGGATGATGGTCGGTGATGATGATGGGGTGAGTGATAACAGTCGTCATATGATCAACATAAAAAGCGTGAATTGATCATGTTATAGAACTTTGAAAAATAATCAATATCTGTGTTTCTAGACCTATTGAGATATTTAATAGTGCGTTGAGATCTGCTGTAGATATAACAGATATGTAAAACTGACTCATTTGCTAGTTAAACCAATGCGGAGACTAACAAGAATGTTAAATTAAGAGAAACGAAATGTGAAACAAAAATGCAAACAAAAATTAACACGCTAGTAAGAAAGAAGAAAAAAATTGTTCGAAATGCAGCAATAAATAAGATAGATCCTTGCTCTGGTGATCAATTATCTTGAAAAATAACTATAGTCTATGAGAGAACTTTCATTTCAGGTATTCTGTACTAGTTTAACAAGGTTAAAGAACATATTTGAGTTTCACATTTTAATCCCAAAGAGGCTTCGCTAGCAAGTTTTTTTTTACGTAATATTTTTTTGTCATTTAGAACAAAGAAGCAATTCCTTTTCTGCTTTTTAATACCAGTCATTGAAGATCTTACGATTCATTATAATCTCATATCTATTATTATTTGTAGCATATCCTTGGAATATGAAAATATGAAAAAATTCAATGCTGTCATTCTTCATACTTATCAAGAGAAAACATTTTTTTCAAATATTTCAAATTTTGCAATGGTTCACTCATTTATACGCGGTATTATTTTGTTCTTTGTAATCGTATTTATTACTCTACTTGTTATTTTAAAACAATCTTCCTATTCCTTATCATTTGTATCTTCTCTCAAAAGTACGAACCAAAATCAATCATCTAATATTCGTCAAAAGATTAATATGCCTTCTGAGAATCATCAAAACTTTTCGTTTCCCAGCGAATCGCCTCTTGTTCGAGCCTATCTAGATGTTGTCCGTGATACTGTCTGTGGCTTAACACTTCGCAGTCAAGAACGTGCAGTTGATGGTGATCGTAATCATATACGTCCATTGAATATTGATCAACGAATAAAAGGTTTAGATTGGCCTTTAATTGGTATTACTATGGTTGGACAAAAACGATTGATAAATATAGAATGGTCATTAAGATTGGTTATTGCAAATGAAATTCCAGGTGATTTCATTGAATGTGGTGTTTGGAGAGGTGGAAGTTCAATATTTGCTCGTGCTGTATTTAAAGCATTGAATATTAATGATAGACATGTTTGGTTAGCTGATTCATTTCAAGGTTTACCAAAAGCAAGAACAACGAATGATAATGATCATTGGTCAAAACAAGAATATTTGAAAGTATTTATTTGATTTTGTGATCAACACGAATAATTATCTTTAGTTTTTCTTTAGGTTTCACTTGAAGAAGTTCAAATAAATTTTCATTCATTTAATTTACTTGATAATCAAGTGCATTTTTGTAAAGGATATTTTGTTGATTCTCTTCCTCGGTGTAATGTCTCTCGTATAGCTGTTCTTCGAATGGATGGTGATATGTATGAATCAACTATGGATCAATTATTCAATTTATATTCAAAGGTACAAGTTGGTGGTGTTATCATTGTTGATGATTATATAATTCCAGAATGTAATAGGGCTGTACATGATTTTCGTCGTTGGCATCAGATAACAGAGGAGATTCGATCTATATCTGGTGATCAACCAGGTCATTATTGGATAAAGAAAAAATCTATTGAAGTACAAATGGATCGATACCAACCATTACTGATCTCCGCGACTAAAGATACTCAGTCATAATTGAAACTAATTTAATATTCTAACTTGAATTTTTATGAATATTTAGCACTGGTCAATATCAATTCCTAAATTATCGGAAGAAGCATTGAATTTTTACAAGAGAACAATAAAGAAATATAATGTTACAAAGCGGGTGACCTCCTAATAAATGATTGTTTTCTGTTTTCTGCCTTTGGAATAGTTTAAAACATTATTCCAAGTTCATTCGGTAGAGGGTTTATTTATCTGCAAAACATTTGATTTTACTTTAAAAAAACTGTTTTCTTATCGGTGTCTAACGCAACCAATCAGCATCTACTTAATCATCTTTCTTCGGAGTGTGAGTGTGGGTGTGCGTGCAGCTTTTACGTTTACGAATATCCACACACATACACTTCTCAATTTTTTACGTCTTTTTATTTTAGTTAAGAAAAAGCAAAAATCACTCTCGAAGCATTTAGTTTCGCAAAGTTTGATCTGTCAAAATGTCAACCGTTGCCGCTTTCATGGGATGTTTCATCATATTGACCAAAAATACGTGCAGGTCCAGTGGAAAGGACGTTGAATGTCCGTTTAGTATTGAGTGAGAAAGTAGTTACTATAAGGATGTATTTCACTCCAGACCGAAGAACATATGTTAGTTTGAACTGTCCACTGCCAGCACTATTGTCATCCTCTGCGACTCGATTAACAGACAATCTATTTTTATCAAAACTGGTAATGTATAAGTAGCCAAACATATCAATAGTGCTATTGCTTGTAAAAGTGTAATTGCTCGTGGTATACACAAGAATATTAACTGCTTGATAGTAGTAAACGTTAGTGTTCTCAGTTCGAAAGAATCGATCACTGCGCTCAGTCAATGCACTTGAGTAAGTTGAATTTACAATATTCGACCCTATAATGATATGAAAAACATTAAGAGAAATATATTTCGTTGAAAATACTCGAAATATTTGTCATCTCTCATTGTCAGACTGGAGAGTAGTGACAAAGATGGTAGTTAGTGTGGCTGGACATGAACAGGGGGTGGGTGTGAGTGTGAGTGTGGGTGGGTGTGGGGTGTGGAGTGTGGGTGAGTATGGGGTGGGGATGTGTGGGGTGTGGGTGGGTGGGTGTAGCGTCTATTCCCCATTTCCACACCCCAACTCACACTCACGTGCACACACCCACACCCATACCCATCCTTAAAAAATAACAATAAGTTTATATTTGATTCTTTACTAATCTCAGAGGTCATGTTTCTTAAAATAGAGTATTGAATGGGCATAAAACAATAGATTGATCGTTATATCTATCTGATTTAACATTTCCACAACATAAACAGTTATGAATTTATTACGTCCCATTTCGTTTTGATGTTAGAATAAAGATATAATCGCACCATTAGTCATAATTAATCGAACGATTAAAGTTTAATTGAAAAGTTTGTCTATAAATCTAGATTTGTCATTTATTTTTCTACTTAATGCTACTGTTATTTGAATATCAAGTATGTCTATATTTTGAATATTTTCATCTAATTGACGGCTATTATGGAATAATTTTCCAAGATTTTATGCACATGTCATAAAAATATGACTTTCTGTTAGTTATATCAAGCAATGAATATGATTATTTGCTTTTTTTCGATATCAACATTTTATTATGAGCTAGAATTTTTCGAATTCGTTTAATAAGTATTTGATCAAAGTTACATCCAATCTCATTCTTTTTTATGTAATATGCATTTAACAGTTCAAACAATAACAATAAGATCAAGGAATAAGATTTAAAAATAAGTAGTGAATCAAAATCTACATTAAATGTTTCAATTTTTCATTTACAGATAAAATATCCGTCACCTTCAAAAAGATCCAATTTCTGTTTCTTATTATCTATAATCATTTTCAACAATTTTTAATGATTTCAATTTTTCATAAATGTTCTCCGTATTATTGAATGAGGGTTTTATAGTTTAAATTTTGATGCATTTTTACAACCGTCAATTGAGCATAATCTCACTAATTACATGGAAAACAGTTCAGTCTTCTACAAACGATGGCTGCCATCTCGACAGGAAATCGTATTATAGTGAAAATATAAAGTTTCATTTTCAAGTCATCTCCATGTTTTTTCAGAACGTATAGTGAACCATTTGAAACTATTCACGTAATTCATAAAGGGTCAGAAACAGTTTATAACAAGAACGAACCTATTGAATTATCTGTTTCTAAACGTTTTCAGCAAATTAAATTGATTTCAAGTATTAAATTTTTTTAATTGAAAATTTTACCTTTTGTAGAAAAACGTTTAAGCCTGCATAAAAATAAAAAAGTGAATTCAGAGATTCAGCAGCAACAATTATATAACTTTCAAACATAAATATCATGTCCGTACAGATATCGGTTTTTTGAGAGCTGTCGACGCACATGGATATGGCCTTTTCCTTATTAATTGAAATGGCCTGTCATTTAGTTATTCATCACTTTATCTCTTTACATACTTATTCTTTTCAATACCTTGATAATACACTAAATGTACCACAACTACTTATATATAACAATTTGAACTTTACTTCGTCTTTTTCTGATATGGTTCATGCCGCAACATTCAGGTTATTCGTTCGGAAATACTGTCAATTAGCAATATTTTCTTGTGAATGATGAAAGTCTCGAAATATTACGGTCTAGTCTTTTCTAATCTACAGTGACTATTTGCATTGCTTTAGTCCTAAATTGTATTGCTTCTTTTTTGAACAAAGATATTGTTGTCCGAACGTTAAAATCGGTACTTCAACTGTTAAACAATGTCATGTTTTCATCTGTAATTATAATACAAAACGAATCGAGAAACACAGTTGGTCTTATTTTGCATTTTTGCACGATTCTCACAAACCGTAGTCCTGTGTCCATATCAAACAATGCAATAATAGGATGTGGGTGTAGGGCGGATGTGGTGTGTGGCTGTGACTGTGGATGTACAGGGAGAGAATACACCCACACCCTCATCCATAAGGCTCAATCATGTATATATAAACGCAAGAGTAACGCGATTATGAACGCTACGTAACATCGATTGTATAGCAACATATATTGAGAAAGAAAAGATATCACCGAAGATGATACAGTGAGAGCTCAAAAAAGCATGTACATTTTTGTTTTTACGCATAAACGAATAATAAGGATACACTGAAAATTTTCTTTCATATCGGATTTTGTAGAGCTTTTTTCGCTAATCATTTTACTGAAAAAAGTTTTTGATTTTCATTGAGTAATGACGATGTTATAGTCAAAATACTAAACACTGTAATACATACTGTATCTAATTACAACTGAACATACTCTGAAAATCACACTAAAACCTCACTAAATTCGTTGCTTTCCAAATAGTAATTATAGAGTTTTGTTCAGTTTCTTATACTCTTTCATATGAAAGAATTGGAATTTAAAAAAAAAAAATCAAAATTTTATTAATTAATTGCTAATTCTTATTAATTATTAATTTATTTATAAATTATTAATTAATTAATTAACTGCTATATAAGTATAAGTGCTTGTTACCAAAATGTAGCCCATTAAATTCTGCGTCGAATGATATATAGAACATCTTTCAGATGTTGTGAAATAACGTAAAAATTAGCCAAATACTAAAAGTGTGCTAAACTTTTTTTCCCTACTTTATATTACAGTGTTTAGTATTTTGACTATAACATCGTCATTACTCAATGAAAATCAAAAAATGTTTTCACTAAAATGATTAGCGAAAAAAGCTCTACAAAGTCCGATATGCGAGAAAATTTTCAGAGTATTCTTATTATTCGTTTATGCGTAAAAACAAAAATGTACATGCTTTTTTGAGCCCTCACTGTATGCTCATTGGCACAGTTGCTTGTGGACTCATATGCTTCCAAATAAAGAAAGCTTTCAATTGTTATTTGCTATGTTCTTATTGTAGATGACAGTTGCATTTTACTTTTTAATGATAAGTTGTAGCTTTGAAGAAAACTGATTGCAGACGAATTTCATAAGACAGGTGTGGACGATAGACTTTAGAGGTGAGAGTATCTCAGGATGTGCAACTAATTGACCAAGGATCACTCGGAACAAGCATCTTGGCCATGGTTATTCAGCAAGTTGAGTTGAATAATGATATTTATCTTGAGACCCATCTAACCATCATATTAACAATCAAGGGCAGCTGAGAAAAGGCTCTGGAGTATCATTGTTTAAATGTCTATCAACAATTATTCTGATTGCTTCACTAGTGATCAAAAAAATTTCAGCATATGTTTATGCATCCATGCATTCTCATCTTAAGACACAGTACTCATTATCAAAAAATGAGTATTTGAAAAATAAAAAATCATCAAAAATATCTTCTTTGCTCAAGACGTACTGAAAAATACTAACGTTCACAAACTATCAATACCATCAACATCAACTGATACAATCGAATCTGTTTGATTATGATTTCATTTTTGCATTTAATAGAACAGACTACGTAAAAACAAGTAGCTGTTCTTTAATGATTAGTCCATCATTAATTTTGCTTGAAAAAAAGCTTATAAATATTGAAAATAGGTGTGATAAAATCTCCTTAGTTTTCTGTCTTTGATTTGCTCACAATACTTATTATTTGTTCTATAAGAAAATCAAAATAATAAGACCAACCGCATATTTTTCTTGAATTTTCTGATCAAATTACAACTTTTTAGGTTGCTCACAATAATTCACCTTGATTGACGCTAAGAAAAACAACAAAAACTCAGAGCAGTTGTGGGATATTTTTAAAAATTATCCATTGGATGTATCTCCAATTACTCAAAAACTATAAATGTTTGGCTACCTACTTATCGCATATCTATATTTGACTGTTCACAAGTATGTCTCGAAATCATTTATCAAATCAGGATGTTGAATATCTTAAATCAGCTCTATCTGATATATTTACTCAAGAATTTAACTTTTAGAATTCCAGTTTTTCTTTCTTAATTCTAACCCAAGTTCTTTTCAACCCTCTCCTATCGTCAAACGTTGTACAATCTGAAAATAATAAAAGTTGTGTGTGTCGGAGAAGAGATAAATCGACTTCAGAGTCGAGAAAAGTTTGAATATTAAGTGATCTCATGTCGTTGAATCGTTGATTTTTTATATGGATAAGCGTGTCTTAGTGTTCACTCTTTGCCTGAAAAAGCTGTATATTTCTGGCTCCTTATATTCTCGCACTATTCAGCGAGTGATCGAATTCTTTCGATTCTGCAATGGATACGACTGTAGTTAATAACAGTCGCTAACGACTGGATCGACTTCTTCATATAGTTCACAGTGAAGCCGTTGTATCATGACCACTATCGATCATTATAGATACATGCTTAGCTTTTTTTACTACTCAGTAACGCCAGAACGCAAGAAAAGTATATTACAAAAGGGTAATAGTGATGCCATTACTCTTTTTTTTCATCGTTTGAAAGCAATCGATCAATAGTAAGAAGAATAGTAGATAGCAAAGGTAAGGCTGTGATTTAAGTGACCAATACAACAAAATTGTTAGTAAAAGAGTATATATATCAATGATCAATATAAAGAGTGGATGATTTGTAGTTGAATTATTAGTATTAAATTACAAAAATTATATATAATGAGAAGTAAAAAAATACATTTGACTCCGGTAACAATATTCAAATTTGATCAGTTAAACATATTCATTTTATCAGTGGAATTTATTTTGTCTGTGTGAAATATAGTCAGGTATAAGAGAAGCCATTTGAATAAATAAAAAAAAAACACAAAAAAATAAGAAAAAGTAAAAAACAGAAGGTTAAAAAGAAATTTAAAAAATGCAGAAAGAAAATTGGCCAGGAAAGTAAATTTTTGTGCTAGCGAAGCAGTTTTTGCTTTTGTTGGTTCGTTTATCCTATTTCATTCAAATAGCCATATCAGCAACGCGTTTTCATGTGTGGTTTTTTAAGGGATGTGGATATGAGTATTCTCGTCATGTACACCTTTGGTTCACTTTTACTGAATTTTGTTCACTAATCTTTAAATTAATTAACAAATCTAATGCATTATTAACAATAATCAACAGCAAAGACTAAAAACAAAGTTTTCGGAAATTGAGAAACACAACCAATGATAGAATGTGAAAGATAAAAGAGCCAGGCGAATATGTCGAGTTCGTCAACAGATAAAATCTAACATCAATAGTTTTTGTTGGTTCATTTTTCTCGTTCATTTGTACATTTTATCAAACTGTTAATTTTGTCTTTGTAGATGTTGTCTTTGGGTTGGTTCTTTCGTCCTTTTCTTATATCCTTCTGATGGTACATCTGCTTGCTGAAAATCCGTCCTCATCTCCTTCAAACGAATAAAGTAGTTCGTAGATTAGAAACTGAAATTGAAAACACTCATGATGCTTACAATATTTACGGACTAGTCATCATTACTCGAAATACTTTCATTGATATCTACATAGTAAGACATGATGAAACTGATTGGAATACTCAAAAGCGACTTCAAGGACACACAGATATTCCTTTAAGTACGAAAGGCAAACTACAGGCTTGTCAGCTTCAAGAAAAGTTTGCTGACATTCATTTTTCAGAAGTTTTCTCATCTGATTTGATACGAGCGCGTTTAACCTCTGAATTGATTCTCGGTTCGAACAAATCAACTATTATTGAAACACCATTACTTCGAGAAAGATGCTTCGGAACATGGGAAGGACGTTTTGCTAGTGAATTAAAATCGTACTTGGAACAAACTGTCGATCTAGATAATTTCACACAAGAAGAATATTTATCGTTTCGATGGGATGATACGACTGAAAGCTATTCTGATGCATATCAGCGAATACAAACTTTTATCCGTTCCATTGCATTTTCTTCACCTATGAGTGATAATCCCATTTTACTTTCTAGTCATGGTGGTATCTTACGAACCCTACTATATCACTTAGATTTTCATCCTGGACTTCGCTAGCAGGTGATCAATTGTGCTTTTCTGAAGCTGAGAGTACGAGCAGATGAACAAATTACTATCATGGCTCCCGAAGGTGTGAAATTGGTTGAGGCAAAGGAGATCATCTTGCCATCTTGAGGTATATTGCCCAAACAACGCAACAGCTTAATCTTTCGAAGACTCTGTCTTTTGCTCTGATCTGACTAATGACAAATTGGTTTTTACGACCTACCAATTGTATTTTTTTAACTGCATTTAGAACTCTTTTTTAATGTTGAAAGTTGTGTGACATGATGTTATATGTTTATGATACAATTGGTCTGTGAATTTCAGCGATATCGTCGTTAGGAATAAAATATTTACTTGACTTTTTAAAAGCAAAAATTATCAGTTTTCAATGCGAAATTTTGATGTTCTATAAATTGATAACAGAGTAGTTGAATCTAGTATATAGAACACGGTTGAAATTTAGTTTATTTATAGAAATAATTACCGAGACAACAAGTAGAAAAATATCTCGTTCTTTTCAAGTTGTTGTCTCTTGTCTAAATAGAGAAAGGAGTGATTCACTATTCTACTTATTGGTTCATATGTTTACAAATACTACCTTTGTTATTCCAGTTCGCAATCTCTCAATCACAATGGAATGTGATGCATTTGGCTACAATAAACCATCTTCTAGTGCTTCTATTAAAAAAAAAATCTTCAAATAGAAAAATGTGTCAGTTTGTGTATAGATTCAAGATTAAAAACTGGAAAAAATAAGAGGCAAAACTGTTTAAAAGATCAAGAATTTTTTCCAATTTATAATGTCAATAATCATTTGTATGAGTAAACTGAACTTGAATTGTGTTTCTCATGCTAGGCTCATATGTTAAGGACTCCATATAAAAAATGATAAACTTAAAGAAACAACACGAAATTTTTACTTGACCTAACTATTTATAACGTTTTCTTATTTTTGAAAAGTCAGATATTTGTGTCATCCCTAACCATGATCTCGATAGAAATGATTATACTACTTTAATGGTGTATGTGTGTTCAATATGAAGCAACTAATCAAAACCATGAAATCATTTCTTGACGGAGTGATCCTGATGCATGATGATTTTCTGCTGTCTAAAATTATGATACGAAGCAATCAACCACATTCAAGCATTATTTCATACTATGTATTGGATCGCTGCGGAATTGTCACGTCACCAACCATAACAGTCATTCACGAAATTTCTATTCTTTTATTTATTTTTCAACGTATTGATTGTTTATCATTCTATGATAAATATCTTCTTGTAAGAAAAAAAATGTCTTACTTCATGTTTCATAGAATCGCATCACCAAGTTGATTTTCAAATTTAATAAATAAAACTTCCTCGAATATGTTTCTTTTTTTATTTTGTCACCGAATGTCGAACGAAAAATATAAAAGTAAACGAAATAGAAAGAGAAAAATCTGAGAATTGAAATTTCAAAAACCCTCTTGTAAAAATGACGTACTCCTAATTTTCACAAACTATGAATATATTCAAACTTACTCTCTTTCAAGGTAAGTTGATTGATCAACTTGATCTAATGCATCAAAAGTTAAAATAAACTTGAACTTGTGCCTGTCGTGATCCCTTCGATAGAGATATTCATTCAACGTATCCAACATTTTCTTTTGACACACAATTGTCAATAAGTATCGAAGTATAGGCTGTTGGAAAAAGTCATCTGCCAAAAAAGAATTTTAATATCTCTATCGTGCTTTAAACAAATCAGCAAATTCTCTTTTCTAATGATCGAAAAAAAGATTCAAGTTTATATTCTCATGAGAGAAGTTCACAAGTAGCGAAGATTCTCTAATTTTTTTTTTACATATGCTAGTTTAAGTGAGAGTTTTGTATGAATTAATTTTCAGATCAGAATTCAGTAATAAAATTTTATTTAAAATTTGAGATCCTACTGAAGGAAATAGTAGAGGCGAGCTTCTACAGACTGATGAATCTTAATAGAATTTTTCGAATTTTCCTTGAACTTTTTTTATTCTTTAATGGAATGTCGTAAGTGAATGTTGGTAACTAGAACACTGTATTCAACTGGCATAACTTCTAATTAGTCTTCTATCGTTGTTGCTAATTTGAATAAAAACAGTCAGTTGAATTTTGTCACTGTTAATCGGGATATTAATCTAACAATTTACTTAAGTCAGTAAATAAATTAATACCTAATATAATAACTAAGACAAGACCGGGTCTTAACTCATGATACATACGTCATAGTTAATGTTTTGTGGCAATGAGCTACACAAACCATCGTCATAACGATCTAGGTGATCGAAGTGACAATATTTTATAAAATAGAAATTTTGAATCTAAGCGTCTTTAGATGATTTTTATTTTCCTTGACAATAAGAATATTTTCATTTGAATAGTAAACCAATGTGTTCAACAAAATTATGCTAGTATAAGTAATTGTTATTTTTTTCATATTAGAGACAGAAAAAGAGCGACATAGTCTTACCTTGATCTTTTATCAGAAAAAGAATTGTTACAAAAAGATATGGTAAGATAAAAGCATATGTTATTAAAATACGTCATTTATTAACATGTCAGTTTACTATTCTATACTAGTATAAAATTAAACAAGATGTATTTAGAATCATTAGCAAATGAATTATTACTTTATTTATTTGAATATTTGGATGGAATTCATTTACTTCGTACTTTTTATAATTTAAATTCTCGATTTAATCATTTACTTTTTAATCATTTTCGAGCTTATCGTTTTGATTTTCGTTCAATATCTAAATATGAATTTGATATTATTTGTCGAAATTATCTTCCATCAATAATTGATCAAATTATTTCATTAACTATTTCTGACGATGATGAAACACCTAATCTATCTGAAATATTTCTTTCATATAATTTTACTCTTGATAAATTTACTCATTTACAATCACTTACACTTTATTCAATTCAATCATTTGATCAATTAAATCAAATCATATTTCAATGTTGTCAACTTCCTTATTTAACACATCTTTATATGATTGATGGTTATAATGATAATAAAAAAAATGATATTCAATTATTAATCAATAATATTTGGAGTTTACCAAAACTTCATTATTTTTATATAAATTATAATTCATCAAGTAAAATATGGTTAAATAAAATTTCAATTATTTCATTATCAATTGAAAAAATATTTATTGAAAATATTCCATGTACATTACAAGATCTTTCACATCTATTTAAATATACACCTTCACTTCGATATCTTAATACAACTATTTATTTTAATTTAGAAGATGAACAAATATCTATTGTAACATCATCAATAACATCATTAAAATTAACATTTGAAAGTTCTGTACCTGTTATGATAAATCTTTTTCAAATGATGCCAAATTTATATTCATTAACATTAAAAACAATGGATATTTATTTAAATGGTAATAAATGGAAAAAAATTCTTATGAAATATTTAAGTAAATTAAAAATTTTTCAATTACGAATGTATTTTCAATTTTTAAGTCATAAAACTATTGATGAAGAACTTAATAAATTAATTGATACATATAAAAATTCATTTTGGATTGATAAACATCAATGGTTTATTCAATGTGATTGTATACCATTTGGAACATATTATCATGGTATACTTTATACATTACCATATGCATTTGATACATTTGTTTATTATGATATATCAAAATCAAAATATACTTGTCCTAATGAAAAAATTTATTGGTTATATAAACGAGTTAAATGTTTACAATATATGACATATAAAATGAATACAATTGATAATTTAAATATATTACCAATACAATTTCCAAATATTCAACATTTAAAAATCGGTATTCCTTTTGATGATAATTTTTGGTTAGTTATTTCATCATTACATCGATTAACTACACTTGAAGCTATATTAGGTGAAAATTATAATTATTCTCAATTACAAACATTACTTAATTTATCATCTTGTCTTTATTCACTAAGACTTTTGTATTCAATTGATTTCAAAATATTACTTGAACAAATTAGAAGTCGATCAATTCGTCATCTTAATTTTATAACTAAATCTTCATCAAATAGAACACATTTTAATACTATTGAATGTAATATTTTAGCTTATTCACAACTTGGATATCAATGTGAAGTTCTTTTAATTAGAGTTGAAAATCGAATAAATATTTTAAATCTTATTAAAACAATGAAAAATCTTCGATCATTAATTGTTCAATGTAATGATGATATATGGAATAATAAATATATTTCATCAATTAATGATGAACTTATTGAATGGTTACGTATGTGTTTACCATCGACATATTCAATAACAAGAGATAAAAATGAAGTGTTAAATATTCGAATATGGATTAGTAAAAATGAAAACAATACACTTTTATTATAACAGAATAAATTTTACAGTCGAAAAACTAAAATATATTTTCTGATATTAATTGAATAATTTTTAAAAAAGAATCATAAAAATATAAAACTTGTTTTCACAAACAAAAAAAATCTTTAAAAAAGCCTTTTTTTAATTGTATATCAATAACAAATAAATTAAAAACATTTTATAAAGCATTTTGTCAGACAATTAGTCTGTTTACTTGTTTGCTTTATTGATTCCTAATCAATATTGAGCAGAAATCTGTCATGTTAAATTCTAGTAGAAATGCAATTTTATGGTAAAATATTCGATAATAAAAAAGTCGATACAGTGCTCCAACAAATCAACTGTCAATGATGTACTTCATATAGTATTAGCTTTCTCAATCAACGCACATTCGTTGTTTTTTTTTTACAAACTATAGCTTGTAGAGTTGTATGTGAACATGATTTTTATAACTTTTCTACTTTGCTTACGCGCACAATCTGCAAATTACAAACAATTAATTTAGTACTATCAGGATGGTATAGTTGAATTCGAGACATTGTTCACATAATGGTCAACCAAAGTTTTGATCAATTTATATATGTCAAATAGTTTTCATTAGAACCTGTTGTTGATTGAATTTTTCATCATAGATTAAATGAACATTTTTATGAGATAGTAACGTAAAATGGATGTTGTTTAATATATGAAGAAAAAAATACTAAATATTTACCTTTTGTGAATCGATTATTACATCACTCGCTAGTTTTGCGAAAGGTATATCATAGACATAACCGTGTCTCATAGATTTTCACGAGAAAAAAACGAAATTTATTTGTAAAATCTAGCTGTACGATTTGCAAAGTTCGACAGTTCTAATCTTACAGTACATTAAAATCTTTATAATGACATATCAAAAACATTCGTTCAAACTTTGTCTATGGAACTTTAATATCATGTTATTTTCCTTATGTATGAGTGTCTAAATCAGATATCTTCCTTTTATTTGAATATTTTTGTATCAATCATCAATTTTTATGGTTCGTATTCATGATTTTTTTTCACATTTGCTAAAGTATTCGTTTCATGAAACACAATTGATAATCAATGTTGAAGTATAGATCAAGACGGAAAGTAGTCAAAATTGAAACTTCAATTATTCTTTGCTTGTAACGATTTATGGATTGATTCTTATACGAGTTTGCATATGAAATAAATTTAAATGAATCATCCAAGGAAAAGGACAGTGTGTAAGATCAACGTTTATTTCATATGACTTCGTTGAATGAATATTAATCATGCGTATTAGACGATGATCACAGTCAAGGATAAGTTCAATTATATCTCCTTTTGAATACTCGCTGATATATCCATTCATATTCTTTAAACACTGTCCATTCATGTATACTTCATTATGACCAGCCCAACCATATGCTGAAGTTGAATTTTGAGAATTTTGTTGCATAGGTGTTGATTTTGAGATAATCCCAAGAAACCACCATGGCTGTACATCAAGCTGCTCAATTTTGAATCGAATTCGATGAATACCAATACTATATTGTCTTTTTCCACGAATTTCACCACAGCCTCCGAACAGATTAAACTTGTGACGAGCTAGATGACCGTCTTCTTCAATACATACAAGTCCACAAGTTTGTTCAAAGTGATCTTTTTCGTTGACAAAAATTTTCGTTATGAAAGGATTCTCTGATGGTTGCTCATCAACAGATATATTTGGTTTTGTAATACTTAGTGTGAGTTCATCGAGTCTTGCTTTCCATTTTATCAAATCTCGTTCATCGAAATCATGATTTTGTTGAGTTCGTTGTAACTGTTCAGTTATTTCACGAGTATATATTGCATTTTCTTCATTTATCGAGGAAATAAATGTTTGAACTTGCTGACGTGCTTCTTCCGCTGTTTCTTTTATCTTTTGAATTGATTTCATCTCCCAAGTATCAATTTGATCAATGAGAAGCGATTTCAAGCCAGTACTTGTCTCGCTTGACATGCCCCGAAATGTATTTATTTCATTTGCAAATCCATCAAGCTGTTGATCAAGTTCAATTCGATGTAAATTGTAATCGTTACTACAAAATATGACTTGACATCCTTGACATTTTACAACGCCGGTCTTTGTATTACATATAGTACATGTGTCTGTCATTATTGCTGTTGACTGTTTGTGCGAAATAAACGTCATAAAGCTTACAAAATGATGGTTAGAGAAACAAATATGTTTTTTTTGCAAGGTTATCTTCAGGGTACTACTATAAGAGTGAAAAACAGAAAGCAAAAAATAACAGAAAGAAAAAAAACGTGTGACTGAAGTCGTATTCATATGAATTTATGACCAACACTTTTTTAGTATGATTAACTTGTATGCAAAAGAACTTCTTTTTCGTTTAAATTGAAACTTTGGATTTGATAAACAACTAAAAATAATCTTATCAGAGTTCATTTTGTATTCAAACGTACTGAACCAATTTTGTGTTATAACTGGTGAACCTAACACTCCACCCTTGTGTAGAAATTCGAACCATAGAATTGGCAGAAACCAATATAACCATCTTGTACCGAAATATTGTTAGCATTCACCGAAACATTTATTTACATTTGTAAATTATCGTATTTCAGAGCATTATTCCATTACGAAAACATCTGATAATTCTATATATAAACAAAATAATTAGGCAAAATAATCATAATATTGTAATTTATAATGAAATAATAGTGGTGATACAACAACTTTATTAATTAGACGTTTCGACATACTATGAAGACATTATCAATAACGAGTATATAACGGATTATACCGAAAAAATATATTATTATTTTGCCCAATTATTTTGTTTATATATAGAATTTTCTCTAGTGGTTTCAAATGGCACTCAAATGTATCGATTATATTTTTTCGGTGTAATCCGTTATTTACTCGTTCTTGATAATGACTTCGCAGTATGTCGAAACGTCTAATTAATAAAGTTGTTGTATCGCCACTAGAGATCTGAGTGACCATTCC